GATGCAGTCATCAGAGCGTCAACTTTGTGATTTATCAGCACAAATATAGTGTCCGTCACACTCTGCCCTTCTCCCTGCGTTTCTTTTCCCCTTTTGCTGTGTCTGTGTGCTCTGGATTGTAACTGCATCCTTTTCAAGCGCTCTTCTTTAAAGTGGCTGTTTCTGTTGTTAAAATTGAATCCCTGACATGCTGCCACAACAGCCGGAGCAGCATTCTCGAAACAATTTGACTCTGCCCTCTCTGCAAGTTTTCGTTTCGAAGTATGTACCTGTTTGTGTTGAGATTTTTTTTTTTTCCTGCGTATATTCTTTACTTCCGTGTTGAATAGACTAAATGACCCAAGGCCAAGAAGAAAGAGAGACTGAGCTGCACAATTTCCCTTCAGAAAATCTAAATTCCATGGTTTTCTAGGCAACTGTTTATTCCTGAAGTGAATTCAAGCCTATTTTTTGGATGGATCAGCTTCGCAGATGCAAAGTTGCTCAGATAAGCGACCGTCTGTATCATTTTAGTCTCAGATGTGTATAGATCTGTGCACATTTTGGTTTTAAAAGCGTGTTGCTCTACCTGATTGGTGCCTCTGTGTGGAGGTGTATGATGGAGTGGTTGTGGATGAGGGTGGAGCTCAACCCTGAATAGAACCCTGATTGGATTGATCCACAGCGCTCTTGTTTACAAGCGGCCTCTTCACAATCGGCACAGTTTAATAGCACACTGTCCCAGAAGGCTTGTTGCATCCGTGTCCGTTTTGTTCCTCAGGGCAAGGAAAACAAAAGTGCTGGGAAGGGAGAAGGGGGGAAAGCAACCTCAGGGGAGCTTTGAAACAGCACTGGAGCCCTCCGTCTCAGCGCTTCCTGCCAAGATAACGTTTCACCTCGCCCACTGATACTTCTTTTATAGGAAACCACAACACAGGCCGCAGTAATACCAGCCTTTATGGGCCAACAGCGACTTCAGTTTCACCCAGTCAACGGGAAATTCGGTGACTTTATGGGTGGCACATTTGAACATTTGTGAGCAGAAATCACAACAACCCCCCCTAACACACACACTCCCTCTGAGCCATAAGTGGTCTAATTTTAATTTTAGGGCCTCCTCAAAGTAAAGCTGGTCCGTGCTGAACAGAGCCGTGCCACTGTCTTCATCACGCTCTTCTACAATAGGATGCAGCTCACACAGGTCCCTCAATAAATCCCAGGCTGACACAAAAGCTGTCAGTGAACTGCTGCTGAATAGATTAATAAGATTTCCATAATTAGACAGGCCCCTGACAATAGGATCCTTCAGGCTTTGTCTCAGGGCCAACTGGATTGTCCGATCCGCGCACGTCTGCTGGATGGTCGTCCACGACAATGGCCGCACAGACAGTAAGGCGGTCAGCAGAAGAACATCTGTCTCTCCTGGGGCCAAGAGCACACAGACGCACAAACAGTGGGAAGTTTCGTGTGCATACGCAGAAGGTTCTTATCAACCTCCTTGCAGCCAGTAAAGCCGTCGGTCAATAGAGGAGCATCACATATTTATGTGTGCTTAACTTGGTCATCAGCACAAATTCAACAGTGCAACTGATAAATGATAAAATATACTGAGATAGTTTCCTCATTGACTTTAGATCACAGAGCGCTTTTATATTGATATTGACAACAGAGAGAAAAGCTTCCAAACAACTGGAATGAACACACTCTCCATTTGTAAACATAGGCCCACTATCCATGCTTCATAAATATGTTTCAAATCCATAATCCACCTCTAATAGGAGTAAAATAGAGTTAATGAGGCAGGAAAGGAAAATGTCATGGTATTGGAGCCGGATCATGATATATAAGGAAGTCACAACAATCTCAAAATTCACTACCCGTGTTAACAGTGTATTGTCTCATTTCTGTGCCGTATGGGATCATATGGGATCCAGCATCTCACTAAAGCATACATCCACGTTAATCTAATGATTGCACTGCTATCCACAGTATGCACACATTGTCCTGATTTCCTACTTCTAATCTTAGCTTTCTTCCCGGCCCTCCAGTGAATTAATCTACATGATGGCACTGATTTAAGCAGAAGTGTAGATTAGAGCTTGCTCAGTTCATTGTGGAGTGCTACTGCTCTAAAAAACCCACAATCTACCAGAAGGCAAGATCTAATTACATGGAAAGGGCTAAACTGAGTTTCAACCCTGCTGTTTTCATCAGTGGTGAATGGCGCCTTATCATTCATCTGAACTCTGTGAAGACACAGAAACAACTGTGGTGTAATTTACTTTTTTAAAGGACGTATTGAAAGTAGGAAGTCTCTGATTTAACAGTGAGTTGTTTTTGCAGGTATGGGCATCTGGTCATTGCAGCGGTCAGGGGGGTAGTGTACCACTCCGTGTTGGTGCTACTCTGATGATGGAGTGGACAGCAGTTAGCCCGCCTCACTGAGTCCTCTAATGTCTGCTCCAGTCCGCTTAGAAAGGACGAAGCGCCTGCTGTCCACTCTTTCCCCTCCCTCCCTCCATCCCTGCCTTCTTCCATCCCTCCCTCCCCGCTGCAGGTTTTATGAGCTCCCCTGGGCTCTCATCCATCTCTGTCACACACAGGCCCCATTATTGGGGCTGCTCACAAACTGGTTGGGCTGCAGATGGGAAGGGCCTACAGGACATATATGGTTTCTGCAGTCCGGACAAAGACCTGCAAGTCAAAAAAAAAAAAAAAAAAGTGGTCATCTGGGTGTGGACAAGCCAATGTCTTCAGCATGTTTGCAACAATACAAGTGAACAGAGTGTGAGAATGTTCTTGTACATCTTGCTGCAGTGGGTGTGTGGCTGTGTGGGTTGGCTGAAGCTTAGGGAACTACTTGAACTGGTTTGGCCATTGGGAACTTAAGGCAGTGCATTTGAATATGAAGGACATGATAATCCAACGGCCATCTGGTCTGCTGGTCTCATCTGACTGAATAAACAACGGGCGTAATCTGAAAACACACATGGGGAGGTTTGGAAATAGGGAAGAGAAAGAGGCCGAAGTTTAGGAGTGAGCTAGAGAGAGCAGGAGAGCAGAATCTCAGGGCTGTGGATATTGAGATTTGATTTAAATGGCAATAAGAATCCTGGCTCCACACACACAGACGGCCATGAATAATGAATCATCAGGCGTCCACTGAAGGAAAAAAAGACAGAGAGGGCAGCAGAGACGGCTTTTGCCATATTCCCTTTTTTTTTTTTTTTTTACCTTCCCCGTTTCTGGTTGGAGTAGTCCTCACCTCGGGGTAAATTGTGACAGTTCAATAATGCCAAGCTATGTGTGGAATGTCAAGCTAATGCCTCAGCAAGAGGCTCTTCATGAAATAGACAATTCTAAAGCCATAATATTGTAAGATCTATCCATCTCTCTAGCTATCTCAATCTTTCTCTCACTCCTTCTCTCTCTCTCTCTACATATATATATATATATATATATATATGTAGAGAGAGAGAGAGATATGGATATATATATAGGGAGAGAGAGAGACAGAGATAAAGACATATATATATATATATAGAGATATATATCTGGTTTTCAACTACTGGTTGTGTGCATCTTGTACTGAAAAATGAGACCATTGCATCTTTTTGTTCTCTCTTCTGTTAACTCAGCGATGATCAATCAGACCTCAACCAGTGCTGAAGTCAGCCAGAGGAGCAGACATTCCACTTTCCCAATGTTCCATAGGAGACTGTGCTGATGAATAGCACACTATGCTGCATTTCCAACACCCCCCCACCCCCCTTCTTTCTTTCTCACTCTCTCCACACCACTGTCCACACACACCCTCCTTCACTCCACCCTCCCTCCCTCCCTCCCTGTGTCCGGCCAGCCACTGGGCCTTTGCAGCTCTGGTGTACGGTGGGTGGGTGGATCGGTGGGTGGTAGGTGGGGGTGCAGGGCGGAAAGAGCAGGCATTCAGAGCAACATGCACGCGGAGATAACAATAGCTCCTCTGGGAGACCTGCAGATGCTCGCAGTACAGGGAATAGTAGTGGGATCTTATCGCTACGCCAACATAAGCCGGGAAACTGCAAAACAACACATCAAACCTACTGATCTGCTTTCACTCGCTTTCTTTCTGCAGCTTTCTCTTCATTCCCCCCCCACCCACCCACCCACCATCCACCCACCATCCACCTCCCCCTTTACCTTCCTTTCCGTCTTTGGGAAATTTGACCCGCTTGATGCATGATGGCAACACTGAAAAGGACTCCTTTACAAACAGAAGAAAGGCCATTTCTTGTCACTGGCTGTTTGGAGAGGAGTGGCTCAGACCATGCGTTTGTGTGCACGATTGTGACTAAAACAGTCATGGAGGAGCATCTAAACTTCTGTCTAACTTACTACTTGATGTCAAGATTTTGTGAAGCGCTTTCTCTCTTTAATACAGACTTAATGAACAAGCAAAAAAAAGAGCCCCAATATCTACAAATAGTTTTGTTATTCATTTCATGTTTTCTTACATATTTAACAGTAAACAAACAATTTCCTGTTTTTGTGTTTCCACACCATGAAGAAGGCACAAGCTGATACATGTTGAAGTGTTTTTTATGTGTCTAGCCCTAAAATATGGTCCTTTTTATTGTTCAAACCCACCTTTAGTGCCCAGATGGGGATTTTAACATGTCTTTTTTTTTTGGTTATAATTTTTCTGCCTTCCTTTTAATCTACAAGTCTTGATTAAATTGAAACACCTCAACAAATGTAAAAAAAAAAAAAAAGTTTATGTCATGTGGTTTGTTAGATGTATCGGCAACCTTGGAACCTCGGGTGCTGTTCAGGGTAAAGAAAACGCTCTGAAAAGTTTAGCTGATTCATTTATGTTTTGTAACAAATATTCTTTAAAACAAATGAACAAGAGAAAGAAAACATCTCATCTCGAGTGACAGCAATCCAGAAGGAACTGACAAAGATGTTAAATGGCCATAAATGTATTTATATCGTGACAAGAAGAAAATTCTAACTTGTTTTTCCTGTGTATTTTTTGTCAGGCCTGTTAAAGATGCACTGGAACCCAGAGCATGCCCAGTCCCTCAGCCAGTGGCCTGAGCAGCACCTGGACGTCTCCTCCACCACCTCCTCTCCGGCCCACAAGTCAGAATTCTACTCTGGACGAGGCCGCGGCTCCTACAACTACGCCTGGGCCAATGACGACATCTCTGCCCTCACCGCCTCCAACTTGTTGAAGCGATATGCTGAGAAGTACGCAGGTGTGCTGGACTCACCGTATGACCGGCCTCCTGCTGTGGGCACTTACCCAGAGCCGGGGGCCTTCGGGGGCCTCAACGGCCCGAAGACTGAGCTGGAACCCTGGCCACTAACGCACAGCACTGATGCCTCCTATCCCCTGGTGCCCCCTGGAGGCCATGACAGCCTCCCAGGCTCTAAGACTGTCCCCACGTCCACAGGCCCTCTAGGCGTTAGCACCGTGTCAGTAGTGAACAGTAACCTCTCAGACTCTGGCTACAGTGGCAGCAGCTCCTGCAGTGGCTCCAGTGAATACCCCTCTAGCTACAACGGCACCTATCTTTCCTCAGGGTTCTGTCCGCAACCCAGTGCAGCACTTCCCCCTGCCTCCCTCCACACTCTCCAGTCCACCCCTACTCTAGTGCCCAGCTATAGCCCTACCACAGCAGTCTATAACTACCCCCCAAGCACGTACCCTCCCCAGACCAGCCTTGCTCCCAGCTATGGCCATCCCTCTGCTACTTACCTGCCCTCAGGTCTACCAGCCCCTACTCCCGTTCCCTCGAGACCCACGGTGGTAGGAGGCAGCTATAGTTACCAGAGCACCAACCTTGGCACGTCTGAGTCTGGAGGGACGTTAAAAAGAAAAGCATTCGAGATGAGTGTAGAAGAGGATGAAAGCGGGGACAGGTCTCGGTACAGAAAATATAGCTATGAGACCCTAAAGGCAGGGGGAAACTCACATTACAGCGTGAATGACAAAACAGAGTGCCGGGGAAACGGCTACAACAGTTCAGGAAGCACAGACCCTCAAACCTTTAAGTCCAGCAAGCCCTCCTCCCAGCCCCTGGTGTCTCCTCAGTTTGGGGCAGCAGGGGAGTACAGCCCTCCAGCAGGCATGACGGGGGAGAATGGCGTGGCAGAGCAGGGCTTTCAGCAGCAGCAGCACCGCGCCCAGGCCCTCAAACGCCCTTCATTATGTTCTGCAACTGTTGAGACTATGAAGAGCCCAGACCCCCGAATGTTGGACCTTGTCAATGGGGAGTTATTAGACTGCAGCCCTGCACTGAGCTGGGGCGAGCTGGCTGGGCTCACCCATGTCAAAGCTGCCCTGGAGGAGGACCTGCTGTGGCCCGTGTTGAGGCCCAGTCCAGTGATGCGGCCACCAAGAACCGTCCTGCTGTTTGGCCCCAGGGGAGGGGGTAAGACGACACTTACTCGTTCGTTGGCTTCACAGTTAGGGGCTTCCTTCTACCGCTTGAGTGGAGCCATGCTGGCCTCTAAAGGGAAGCCAGAGGCAGAGCACATCCTGGGGTCTCTGCTGCAGGTGGCGGCAGCACGGCAGCCCTCAGTGGTGCTGCTTAGTCAGGTGGAGGCCATGGAAGAGGAGGGGCTGAGTCAGATACTGCTGACCACCCTGGAGAAAGCCCAGGTGGGGAACACAGGTCTGGTCATTCTAGTGTGTGCAACCGGAAGGCCAGATCTGCTGCAAGATGCCGTTCATCGGAGCTTTGCCAAGCGATATCATGTCGGCCTCCCAGATGTGGGGATGCGCAAGCAGGTGCTTCTGCAGGCGGTGTCGCCTCAAGGCTGCAGCCTGAGCGAGAGGGAGTTGAGCATCGTGCTGCAGCGCACAGAGGGTTTCTCAGTGTGGGAGCTGCTGCAGCTCAGCCAGCAGGCGTCCTCCCCAACTGGAGCCATGCATGGCCTCACCCCATCCTCCAAAGCCCCAGACTTCACAGACTATGAGAATGCCTTCTGCAAGGTGCGGCCACACACCACCACAAAAGAACTGGACACTTGTATAGAGTGGAGCAAGATGTATAGCCACTGAGAAGGCAGCCGGTCTCTGCATTCGGACTGCACTACAACCCGGTCTTTGCTTTGACTTAGCAAGCCTTGGGAATGTTTTGTTGTTGTTTTGTAATTACAGATTATGCAGCCAAAAGAGCCAGAGAAGCTCAACAGTATGGGAGAGCTGACAAAGTTGTTTCACTGGCAGAAGCATGCCATGGTGTGCTGTTTTCGTTTTGCTATGAATACCTGCAATATTTAATTTTTCCCAAAGAGAAGAAAGATGAATTGGCCTTGTTGAGTGGGGTAGTGTATTAGTCGTTTGGCCAATGGGAAAATCAGATATTAGCTATGTGGATCCTCTCAGAGATCCTGATTAGCCTTGGTCCAGGACAAAATCAATTATTTGTTGCTAGGTGACGTGGTCCAAGATTATGGATAATCAGGGTTTGGAAAATCCCCCCTTTGGCTGCTACTCTCAGGATCCTATTTATTACCAGTCCACTTCCATGCTATCCTAATGTTGATTTACTCATTGGATTGTCATCAATCATTCAGTACAAAGGGCTTGGGATCAGCAACATTTCAGCGAACCACAGTTTTTGACCAAAAACTTGTTAAACCAAATACATAATCAGCCGTACTTTTAAATTTCTCTAAAAGGACTGGACCTCCAAATCACAAAAATAATAATAGACTTGATAGCTTATAACCAAATCATAATACAACAGCTTCTCCTTACTATTCTGAAAATAAAGTGTTCGAAATTCTAACCTGCTCTGACCAGGAGGTCAGTTGTTTAAGTGAAATCTTTGCTGTTTGGTTGTAGAAATACTTCTCATGCATCCTTATTTAACTCACCTTTGGCACTATGCTCACACTTAACATGGTACAGTTCACTGTCAAATTACTTTAATATTCTTTATTAATCACATTCCACATCGACTGCAGTTTTCCTGAGAATCCCACACACAGATCAACTCTAACCCACCTTGTACATCCAGCTTCTCTTACAGCATGTCTGTTTTTCTATTTCACGTACTCCTTTTGTTTTCATAGTATGTAGTCTTGTTTGAAATGCTCAGGAAGAATTTCTTTACCTCAGAAATTTGAAATAAAGAATGTATGTAATCTTAGGGTCTTAGTAGAGAGTGGCGAGATAACGGAGCGAGGAGAAACCTGACAGTCTTGTAATACCCACTGCAGCTGGGCTTTTACCTCGGGAGAGAAACTTGAATATGCTACAAAGAGTAACATTGAATGTAATTCAGGTATTTCAAAGGATATTTGATGCCATAAATCCATGTATTATTATATATGAATATATAAATACGTTTTTTTTTCTTTTCTTTTATCCTTTATTTTTATTGTAGTTTATGGTGGAGTGATGATTGTCTTCAAGAAAAAAATGCTATGTAGAATACAGAAAATATTCCCCTTTTTTGTTGGACAAACTGCTCGCAAATCTCTGTGTTATCTAGTGTTTACATATCCCGCATATGCATGTCTGCTCTTTATAGTTTTACTGCTGCAAAAGTATCATTTGAAAATGTAAATACAACACATGCAATCGTGCACTCACGGCGAACATTTGAGCACAAGAAACCATCCAAAAAGACCACGACACAGATGCAAAAAAAACAAAAACAAGTTTGAAGAAGTTGTAGCTTTCAACAAATCCCAAAGTCTAATGAGTCACAGCTAATGTGTACATATTGCGGATGAACCCAACATGTGGACAATCCAAAAAAACAAACAACAAAAAAAAATCTCCTTTCCCAGCTGTCCCACACTTCTGTTTTAACAAGCTGGAAAAACCCAGTCACCGGTCTGCCGGGACAAGAGGTCGTATGTATTAGACTGTTGCCATGGTCCTGAGGAGGTATACACACAATGATGTAATATTTCCTACCGTCCTCTCCTCCCTCCTTCCCTCCCTCCTTCCTGCCCTCATCATTCTTTTTCTCTTTTTCTCTCCCCAATGCAATCTCATTAGATTGGATTGCCCCCTGGCCACGAGCCCTAGTGGCCATGTGGCGTTGTATCTTCTCCCCACCCCCCCTCCTCTTTCCCCTCTTCCCTTATACCGATTCCTCCGGAGTGGAAGTGGTCTGATTGATGTCCAGCAATCCTATATCACAGTGCAGCCTTCCCTCTCCAGCTGGTGGCTTCAGTCATGCTGTACAGCCAGATCAATCAGAGTGACCCCCACTGTGCATACTGATCACCGTCTCAGAAAAAAAACGAAAACACATTTACAAATTACGGAACAAGCCCTGCCTCCAGTGGCCACCGTCGAGATAAGGCCGGCGATTATTCACGTGTAATTACAGGAATGAAATAATGACGAAGAGCTACAACGTTGTGATTCCTTGTCCCCTCGACTCCTGACAGTTTGTCCAACAAAATAAGCTTTTATTTTGTACGTTTTTGATCTGTTATCGCAGTAACTTTGTTCTTGGTTATTGTACATTTTCTGTAACCATTTCTACCTCATTTTTGCGGCATATTGTACATGAAAGTATTTATTTCATGTCTTTTTTGATGTCTGTTTTAAAAATGATAATAATGTTCTTGAACTGTAATAGTCTACCTCAGAAAAGACTGTATTTTAAGAGAAGAGTATCACACAATATTAAACAGAATTTGTCAATATTGCACTGCGGTTAGTTCTGGTTTTTGTTGGGTTTTTTTTCTTCTTTCTTTTGATTTCACCAGCAAAAAAAAAAGGTTGCAATTGACCAGAGTGTGTATATTACATAAGGATGGTGGTCAGCATGGGAAATCGTTTCATGTACGAGATTACATCATTAGGTTGTGGATTTGCTGTAACATCGGCTTGAACTGACTTCACACAGTGGCTTTTATAATCAGTAGAGGAAGTCGAAATGAAAAATGAATAAATACGTTGTGATTCAGGTTAGATGTGAAACAAGCATTCGTTGAAGTTTTGCGTATCTGTGTGGGCTGGAAAATTAGAAAGAAGCCAAACCATGTGTGTGTGTGTGTGTGTGTTTTGTGTGTCTTTTCACACTTTGCCAGGATGCATGTACATATGTTTTGGTGTGTGTGCCGTAGCGTCCAGAACAGCAACAGAAGCAGCGCGAGCACACCCCCGAGGCTTCAGGCCCCGGCACCAGAGCACAGAGGTCCTTCATCCCTGTCACTGTCTGTAAACAACAGCCCGTCCCAGCGGCCTGCCCCTGCGCTATTTCTGGCCTTTTTCCTGACATCTTTCAAAGACTCAAAACTAACCGAGAGAAGACGTAAATTTGAGCAACTCTGTGTGAAGAAGAAGTGAAGAAGTTTGGTTGAAGCCTGGAACCGGGGTCCGTTTCCCCACAGTTATGGATGGCGGTGTCAAAGCGTAGTTCGAAACATCTGTGACTGAATCCCACTAGAACGCCGGTGCTGGTGCTGTTAATGACAAGAGTAATTAATTGTCTAATAATGATGCATAGCTCTGTTATAAGCGCAACCTTGTGCAGGAGCCGCCCTTCATCCTTTGGTGAAGGATAATCGTTTCTGCAGCTGTTTAAAAATTATTCCCTATCTTTTCCCGTCACAAACTCAATAACAATGTGCAGAACAACATGACGGTACATTTAGAACAGACCATGTGGAAATGTGACTTTAGACTACAAGGAGAAGCATATTTACCTCTAACATCCATGTTGCAGGTAATAAACAATTTGACTAAATTACATACTTCAAATGATTATATACCAGCTGGAGCTGAAACTAAGCGTGTTTTTGTACTAGCAGCAGTCACAAATAATAGGTTTTACTCTTGTATCATAACAATATTGTTATATTTGTGATCATGAGTGCAAACAGTAGCTTTCCATCTATATTTCTATACACATAGTCTTACATCTATGAGTCACTTTCCTCCTGCTAAGTGTCTGAACACCGCTTTGTCCTTTTTGTCCTAAAGAGAGTCCTGTCCTCCAGGAAGTCAATCATTTTCGTCTCCCTGCTGATTGGAGGTAATTAGCCGAGCAGAGTTTGTAATTGGATAATAAAAGATGCTAATGAGTTGCTGTCCTATTTACTCATACTGTGGCAGTGAATTGCAGGACATGACTCAGGCACAGCTTCCTCACTGTGATGGAGCCCTAGTATATTAAAAGTACATTTAAGAGTAATTAAAAGACATACATGTTAATTATCAGAGTGATTAGCTTTATTTAGTTGGGTTTATCAAGAATTACAGTTATAAAGGATTAAATCTAACACATTTTATATAATCAGATTATGTCAAATGCATCTAACTGTAAAAGCTTTTAGTCTGTCCATGGCATTGATGGATGCACCCATAACGGGTTTTTAAAAAAAATAAAAACTTTTATAATATTTATTTTTGTGCTAATGTAACATGTACCCAGTTTCAGGAGCATGAACTCAGTTCAACCCTCTGAACCTCAAGCAGTTTGCGCATGTCACATTTTTACTTAACTGAGCTCATTTTTCACAGCAATACCAAGTCCTGCACCTCTGTGGAAGCAGCACAGCCATGGTTAGAAGTACACACAACTCACAAATGTATTTTGTGCAGTGTGACACAGTTATAATGCCATAAATCAAAACAAACAAACAAAAAAAAAAAAAAGAGGAAAAAAGGGAAAGCTACATTTCTTGGATTATTTGTTTTACAAGAACCGAAGAAACCTGAAATCCATATTTATCCAAGTGTCCAAAGTGTTACCAGGGAAGAATGTTGACTCTACATACTGCAGATATTTCATTACTTACATTTTTTTCTTGTTTCCATATTTATCTCCTATCTGCTCTGTGTAAGTGCAGCCTGCAGTTCAGCCCAGGTCAGCCAAGCACTCTTTGAATTTTGAGCTGAGTCAGTCGTGGCTTCACAGTTGCACAAAAGAGCACAGATCCCTTTTTTTTTTTTTTTTTTTTTAAATCTGGTGAGAGCAAACACTTCAGTTTGTTGAAGTTTTAACTGAGATGTTTGGAATAAACTGATGTTGATAAAATGTTGTGATGTTAAGCATGTCACAAATGATGCATTCAAGAACTGTCGGAAAACTAAAATCTGACAAATCAGTTTTTAAAGTTTCTGACTGATTAAGGGTGTGATTTTGTTGATTTTTCATCAGAGATGCCACAACATGCCCTTCAAACCCACTGGCAGGTTTCGAGGTATGAGATTTTTATGATTCATGCACAGCATCAGAGTGTGCTTCATTCAAAGGTACCTTGACTAAAACTTGAATGTTATTTATGGTAACAACCTTCATAAAATAAAAGGTCATTGTCTGAATCTCATTTCACACGGACACAGTCCTCCTCGCTACCTTTGCCGTGCTGCTGGCCTTCCATTGTCCGGGCCTTGATACTGACAAGGTTGACATCAGAGGAGAGCTCTGACACAGGGTGAGTTAGGACTGCCAGCTGTTAGCAATCAAGTCTATTTTGAAGTCAGGGACACACAGACCCCCAGGGCCAAAGCAGCAACTAGCCCAGCCCCTCACCACCCCCAACTCAGCCTACAACCTCCAAGCCCCCTGGTCCCACAGATAGCCAGCACATCTGTATTGGTTCCAGATGTTGCAGGCCTGCAGCACGGGATCCTTTACCTAAGAGCACCCTGAAAATGGTGACAGACCTGAACAGAGCGTGGTAATGCAGCAAAGGACAATATTGTAAACAAAGACATAAAGAATATATTTCATTGTCAGACCTGAAGTAAATAAACAGCTAAATATCTGGAATGAAGTTGGATCCAGATGTTTTAAGTTCCAAGTGGCCATCACGTTTCTTAACCCTATTCAGGACTTTCATGTTGCCTTACGTAGAAGGTCTTTCGAAAGAATAGAAAGAATATATGCAAAATATTTGCTGGTATTCATTATAGACCTTTATACTATTTTAAATACATTTTCTGATAAGTTGACATATTTTTAGTTCCAAATGCATGACAAATGTCCCTCTTTTTATATTTTAAAAAAGCTTCAAAAATATAAAAACAATATCTGTCACCTAAACCAAATGGCTAGGGGTCCAAATGACCCCAAAAGTCTTGAATAGGGTTGATTAAAAGGGTTTTACATGCATTACTCAAACCGCCGTCCTTGACAGAGGAGGAGCTGCATATTATGACAGAGAGAGCGCTTGCGCTGCAGACTACCTTTTGAGTATATTGGTTCTCTTTCCTGGAAGGCAGATCTGTCATCACAGATACTGGCCTGAATACTTAAGCGGATAATCTTTACGGTAACATCAGGCATTCAAAATTTTGCAGTTTCGAAGAGAGTAGGTGGAAACACTTAAGGAGAGAACACAGAACATGAATTGTTTTCTTTATACAAAGTTTGCGGCTTGAACCCAGGTAGACAAGCTAATCTGAAATCAGGTAAGAAAAAGAGAGGGCACAATGACAACTCCTCAGGTTGGTTAAAAGGAAAATGATCAAAAACCGGTGCGGCTGCATTGTTTCCACGTTAGTCAATCAAAGCTCTCAGGAAATTGGATCTGACAGGTGGAATGTGGTAAAAAGCCTTGGCCTGCCCCCTCTCACATGACTAAAATGTGATCACTGAATAAATAAATAGTAAATAGGTGTAAAGGAGAATAAACAGATTGGTTTAGAAGAGTTTGAACAGGCGTCACTGTGAGAACAGCAGCAGAAACTGATAGAAGCAGATCCGATGGTTCACATGAACCTGACATTCTTCTACAAGGTTAGATTTATTCGTGTTGGATTGTTTTTAGATAGCCGCGTGTGGTGTTGCTATGATGACACCTAATTTCAAACAGAGACCAGAACATGTTGAAGACAGGCAGGAGAATGCAGGTCTATACTCCCCTCATGTGGCAAATACAAGTAATGACTCCAAGGACAGATGGTGCCATGAATCCATTCTTATACAGGCCCCTATAGATAAAACCCAATGCATATCTGAGGGATTTATTTTGTTGTAATATTCCATCAAAATATGTGGATTTAGCTAAAGTTCTGGGACAATAATTTACTGAATTATGTTATAATTTGCTGAGTGCTCAGGAAAAGGACATAGTGGATTTTAAAATGACCAAATAAAATACAGACAATAAAACAGAGTTGAAGTATTTACACAGCTATTAAACACAGAGCAGATTTATGCAGTCATAAAATAGCTACAAATATTACAACTACAAAAATGAGACAGCAAAGCAGAAGCTGAGCTGTTATTTATTCAAGACATTATTGACCCCTGGTGGCTTTGCTGGGAAAAACACTGAGAAGTCCGATTCAGTTCTGTTCCAAAGGAAACGTGACTCATTAAAGACACTTAAGCTACTACTATAAATCAGTGTAAGGACTGAATGTTCAAGTTTCTTATAATGGCAACAAATTTCCAATGTAACGATCATATATATTCTAGATTTTTACAGGATGCCGGCATGTTAATTCATACAGCATGTAATTAGCATTCCCCTGTATGTATAAGAAATGACATAATGAATCGTGTATGCGTCCCATCTTGAAAACTCGTTTATATTGAGTGCATGCAGATGAATGTGGTTCTTCTGTTGGCCAAGCACTTGCATATACATTTCCATACAAAAACCATATATAGAATATGATTGTTTGTGAATGTTTCTGCATGCGGTGTCTATGTACCAGTAGAAGACAACCGGTCTTCTCTTTTTGGTTC